TTAGAGCGAACGAAGTGAGTTAAGGGAGAGGCACATTTTGAGAGGGTGAACCCAGAGCTTGGTGGCTCCAAAGCGAGGGTGCGAAAAGCAGTGAACATGGGGTCTGGTGATGCGAGTGATGTAATGGACGCCGAGTAGTGCATCATTAGAACCATGAAGGACAATGGAGACAGGGACAATGGGCATAGAGGACTCGAGTGGAGACAGGGACCCACGTACAGAGAGCAGACCGCAGCCGTACGTAGGATACGAGTTCCCAGGACAACATAGATAGCCTAAAGTGACATGAGGTCAAGCCCATGATTTGGATTGAGTTTCGGTGGGGATGCGTGCGTGGTTGACAACCTATCCGCATAGGGTTCCTGCCCCCTTAGTGAGAGAAAGAGAAACCCGTCTAGCAGCAGCTGGCTTTCGTCCCCCCTTCTCAGGTTGCTCACTTTGCAGCATAACTAAAGACAATGGCCTCCAACCTAATAGCGATGGCCTCCAACCTAATGCAGAGTGTCATGCATATTGCAATGCATATTGCATCACTTGGCAGCATACCTAAAGGCATTGGCCTCCGACCTAGTAGCGATGGCCTCCAACCTAAAGCGTATATTGTCATGCGTATTGCATTGCGTATTGCATCACTTTGCAGCATACTTAAAGGCATCGGCCTCCAACCATTTCATAGCGAATGCACATTGTCATGCATATTGCAATGCGTATTGCGTCACTTTGCAGCATACCTAAAGGCATTGGCCTCCGACCTAGTAGCGATGGCCTCCAACCTAATGCATATTGTCATGTATATTGCAACGCGTATTGCGTCACTTTGCAGCATACCTAAAGGCATTGGCCTCCGACCTAGTAGCGGTGGCCTCCAACCTAAAGCATATTGTCTTGCGTATCGCAATGCATATTGCGCCATGAAGCATGTGGCATGAACATCCACGGAGGTTTTGCAGTTGGGCATGAAACCACGCACATGTGCCCGCAGAGCGCTCTTGAAGCTCAAGCAAAAAGGTGCCTTCACACGCGCGCCGCCACGCTGTTTTTGATGGTACGCGGAGCCGCTTAACTGCGGCCTCGCTAGCAGCGCCTCACCCGCTCTGTGCCTTGCGCGCTCGCTGCTGCTCGCGGCTGTCCGACGGCGGACGCCCGCTCATGCGATCGACGTGGAGTCCCGCAGTTCGACGGGACTGCAGATGTTTTTGAAGAGTATGAACGGGCACGGGGCCTGTTCTATGGGACAGGCAATGATGCCACCCAGATCGCACCTTTGATCAGGACTCGTGGCAGCTGCCTATCATGCTGTTCGCAAGTTGACCCAGGACTCCTTGTCCACTTCGAGGGATGGAAAGGCGACTGATGCTGGCACGAAGCTCCTCATCCGGACTCTCAATGTCAAGGAGTCCATAGCTGCTGAAGTTCCGGTGAGGATCAACAAGCGCTCTTCCTGATCGCCTTCTACTCACCCCAGGTTTGGAGGAAGCCCTCAGAGACGATGCAACAGTACGTTGTGAGAACGGAGCAGGACTTCAATAGGGTGCTGGAAGCATCATCCGGCGCCCGAGTCTCCAACAACCTTCGCAGCATGATGTTGCTGATCTTCTCCGGCTTGGACCATCGTGAGCAGTTGAGCGTCCTTGCAAGCGTTGGCAATGAGTACGACTTCAAGAAGACTATAGTCAGGCCTTGAGGATCCAATACCCTCAGGCCACGGGCACGCCGCTTGCAAGAAGAGACTATATACCTGGGAGCCAATCGAAGCTCGCGAAGCTACAATACTGATGCTTCGCCCCAAAGCCGTTACAAGTGGAAGACAGCCCACAAAGCTCGTTCGGTTTTGGCTGCAACCCATGAAGAAGATGATGAAGAAGATGATGATGATGATGAACCTGCAGCCGACCTCGGCGAGGAGATCTTCTTCGAGGGCGACATGCCCGAGGGCGATGAGCTGGCTGATACTACTCCGACGATGAAGAGTAGCTGTTTGATGATGCACAAGTGGCTGAAGCATATGCCACCATCGCCCAGTTCAAGAAGAAGAAACAGTTCGCATCTTCACCAAAGAAGAGCTCAGGAGGACAGTGGCCCATATCCCTTCAAGGCCGCCGAAGAAAGTTTTGATGCCAACGCCAAAGAGCAACGCAAGTCAGCTCCCGGCACCACTTGCGGCCAACGTGGTCACTGGTCCGGCAATGCTGAATGTCCACAGCGCTCCACTACCAAGAAGGGCAAGGGAAAGGCCAAAAAGAAGCCTTTCTAAAGAAGGCCTCGCAATCTTCTTCGTGCTCCATGACCGGATCGAGTCTGAGGAGGAGGCTGAGGTCCAGTTCACCGAGACTCTCAACCTGAACGACTTCCAGAGGCCTGCTATTCCGCTCTTGTCGCCAACAACGTTATTGTGGAGCGCCCTGTCATCAACGTCCCGGCGACCCTGAAGTGACACCGAATGACATGGACCATGACTTGCCCAAAGGGTGTATGACATGATCCACGAGAATGCCGACACGACGCCAAATGACCCAGTCCCTGACACCACTGATGGCGCTGGACTTGACCTACATGATGGCGAATGACTCGGTCAATGAGACCTTCGATGGCAATGAGCCGGGAGCAAGATAATTTTCCGAACGCTTTGTCAACTTCAAGAGCCCAATCCTCTGCGAACATGCCTGAGGGAATAGTGGTCCTGAGCGCCAGTATCATCGTGGAGCAGCTGGCCGCCGACGACTACACCAGGATTAAAAGGTTGAAGATCCCTACTGCACGATCATCACACACCCGCGCGGGGCCTGGGGATCATGGTCAAGATTCAGCGTCGCCAAGGGAGGTCAGTCAGCTGAGACCATGAAGGCCCTCCGTGTGAGGCCAATCGCGACGTCTTCAAGACCGTCAACAAGACTGTGAAGGACAGAACCTCCTCAACACTGGTGATCTCATCCTACTCCGAGTTGATGGACGCATGGTTGGCTATTGTGATAGAGAGAGCAAGCTCCCACACATCAAGCCCTCCATCTACATCACGCCCATAATAGCTGCTGAGCCCATCTTTACTGAATGCGCTGCAGCCGAGATCATGGGCTCCGCGATGGCCTCCAACCTGACGCATATTGTAACGCATATATTGCATCGTATTGCATCATCCCAATGGCCTCCACCCTAATAGCGATGGCCTCCAACCTCATGCATATTGTCACGCGTATTGTGATGCATATTGCGTCGCATGGCGTCATGCCTAAAAGCCATGGCCACCAACCCAATAGCGATGGCTTCCAACCTAGGGGAGAGGTATCAAAAAACGGAAATAAGCGTCAAGAAAAATTGATAAGCGTCGACAACAAAATTTTGGTGACCGGTACCCTAGTCTTCTGGTCCTTTGATTTTTGATCCCCTGGTCCTCTGGTCCTCTGCGCCTTTGGCCCCCTGGTCCTGGTTGCGCGCGAAATGTGGTCGTTTGTGCGCGCGGACGGTGCGTCGTCGGTGCGCGCGGACTTTGTCATTGACTCACTCACTCACCCACTCACTCACTCATTCACTCACTCACCCACTCACTCACACTCACTCACAATCCTTGGCCGGTCCCCTTGCCTGATGGCATTCCTGAGAAGCCCATTTTCTACCCTAAAATTTAGAGTAGGATGGAGCCATTACAACGCAGCACACCTTTTGTGGGCCACACGAGAGTAGGGAGGGGCCATTACAACGTAGCACGCCTGTTGTGGGCAACCCGAGGGTAAAGTTTAGAGTAAAATTTAGAATAGGAAGGAGCCATTACAGCGTAGCATCCCTTTTGTGGGCCACCCGAGTCAAATTGTAGGCAACCCGAGGGTAAATTTAGAATAGGAAGGAGCCGTTACAACATAGCATTCCTTTTGTGGGCCACCCGAGGTTAAAATTTAGAGTAGGAAGACGCCATTGCAACGCAGCGTGTGTATTACCCAGGGAGCTTGAAAGGGCCATCAAAAAGTTTGTGCGCGTAGATGAGTCTTGTGTGCGCAGATGAGACAAATCTGTGCGCGCAGATGATGCAGCGCAGATGAGCGAAACTGAGTGCGCGGATGAGTCCCTGCTCTGGCGCCAACTGCAAATACGCCCTCTCTTCGTCTTCCCTTGCTGCTTCTCTCCTTTGTTTTTTCTCTGTCCCTCTTTCATCACTTTATCCTTCTGCTGCCGCTGCTATACTTTGTTTGCATTGCGGGGCAGGCGCTGCGCCCTCCCCCGAACCCCCTCCCGCTTCTTTAATACGCCAAGAAAGCTCCAAGCCAAGCCCAACAAACTCTAAAGAAGCGAAGCCCTAAGCGAAGCCCACGAAATCTACACCTCGTCATTCCCAAAATGCTACCTCTGCCATGAAATTTGCATTTCAAGGTTCACAAAGTGCCGCGCCTGCCACGAAATCTGCACTTAGACGCGCGCAAAGCACTGCGTTTACCAACAAATTACATTCTGCATTTCCACCTTCGCAACCTGCTACGCCCACGAAATCTGCACTACTAGGTCAAAGCATTGCGCCTGACACCACGCGTGATATTCTTTATCGCAATTACGTATTTTTGACCCCCTAAAACATTTTTTGAGCCCTATCAAATTTTGATCCTTCACCCCTTAACCTAGAAGCGATGGCCTATATTTAGCGATGACCTCCAACCTCTAACCTAATGCATATTGCATCATATTGTAATTAATGCATCTTGTACTAGAATCATACTTTTCGTAACTTTAAAATGCAACGGGCTATTGGCTATCGCGGCTAACGCCCTGGTGCCGCCGACCCAGGGTGGATCAGGCCATTGTTATTCGGTTGGAGGCCATCGCTAGTAGGGTTGAGGCCATTGCTATTAGGTTGTTTTCAGGTTCGTTTTCGCAGAAGGCGTATCCCAGGCGCCGCGCACAGGCGCACACAGGTCCATTGTCGGCCGACTTCTTTCAGAACTGACGCGTACAAAATAGGCTTTCAGGCCACTAGTAGCCACTGGTAGCTAGTATGTAGCTACGCTTTTCGCCTTCAGGTCCGAGACTCCATGCTGCCAATCTTCCTTTCGGCCAACCTGCTCACTGGTGCCGCAGCCTTGAGAGTTTCGGTCGGAAACTTTTCGTAACAATAAAGTTTTGAAGCAGTCTTTAGTCTTTGAAACTTGTAACTAACTGGTAGCAATCCTTAGAACAAAAGAAAAGGAAAGGGGAGCAAGGTCTCGGTCTATATGAAACTTTCCAATCAAAACATTCGCGCGAGCTATCCTGCGTCTTAGCTAGGAGCTTCCCCTCCGGGCTTAAAAAGAAAGAAAACAAAGAGATCGCAAAAAAAAAAGCAAGTCTTGTGTTTTTTCCAGTCCTGCGCCTTGCCTTGAGAGATGCATGTTGCCCGATTTCTAGAGAAGATGTTGCCGATGGTGTGCAGCCTGAGGTTGTTAACTTGACTTTGCAGCCCCTCATGGTGCCCTTCTGGCCAGATGGGGCCCTAGGACGGGACTAGCTCCAGCCGCTAGGCCTGGGGCTAGGCCTTAGCGGTCGGCTTCACCGGATGTTGTGTTTGCTTTCTGTTTTCTTGTTTAAGATCATCTTTTTTCGATGTTTTCTCGTTTCTTTCCACCGCAACGCTGCTCAACCTGCTATCGCGAAGGCTAGAAGATCCAAGCAACTTTGGAAGGTTCTTGTCCACTGAGACGTGTGTGTGTGTGTGCCCCCTCCGTTTCTAGGAGTTTTCTTTTTCATGTACTTTTACTAGCAAGCAGGGGACCAGGCAGGATACATCGTCGCCTGGTCAACGAAGCTGGTGATGTATCCGAGGATATGGAAATGGGGCGCCATTTCCACGTACCTGCACTGCTCTACAGGGCAGCAGAAGGAAATAGTTCTCGGCGGACTTGTGCGTCGGTTCCTTCCTTCTGTTGAGCCTTTTCTAATCTAATGGGGCGATTCGCAAGTCGTGCCCCCTCCCCGAGCATCCGATATTGATTCCAATCATTAGTTTCCTATGAAAAAATATTGATATTGATTTGCCTTGAATATCAATATCAAAATCAGTATTTTCTATTGATTTGGTTTTGGTGTTTTCTGTTGATTTTGATGTGCCCTTTTCCTTCCAAAATATGATGAAAATATTAATTTTGATATTGATTTTGATTTTGATTTGGATATTGATTTTGGACACCCCTTTTCAGTTTGCAGTTTTGGCTGTGAGAGTGTGAACAAGTATAGGGAACCAAGAATGTCCAGAGGTGGGGCCAGGCACAAAGCCAAGGCTTACATAGACCCATCCTTGCTGCTGCAAGTGATGGGCAACCATGGGGACTTGCTGGCTGATCTGGGATCCTATGAGAGCAGGAACAAGCAAGGTGCTGTGGACCCTGCTGGATTGGTCAGGTGCCTACCCCTTGTGAAAGGGTTGTTGGGTGTGTGCCCCAGAGCAGAGGTTCCATCAGGTCCTCTGAGGCAAGCTCTTTTGAGCTGGCTCACCTCTATGCCAGAGGTGAACAAGAGCAAGTTCAATGGCAGCACATGGAGCATCCTGAAGGCTGAGAGGCTGACCACCCTGTTTGCTCATGTGAGGCGGTTGAAGAGGGACAATGACCAAATGAGAATTTGTGCTGCAAAGCTCAGTGGCTCATCCTACACTTCCCTACAGGAAGCCATTGGCATGGTGACCTTGCCAGAGGAGGAGGAGCCCTTGGAAAAGGGTGAGGAAGCTTCCTTGAAAAAGGAAATTGCTGCAAAGCTGCCCTTGCAAAAGGGAAAAGCTGCTGATGAGATTTCTGTGGATTCTCATGGTGTGCCTCTGATCTTTTGCACACCAGACAAGGCAGGCAGCTCGTCCTCCAGACCAAAACCCTTTATGAACAGAAGGGAAGACACCATGGTCCATGGACATAGCTCCCAGGCCTTGCAAAAGGCATTGGGATATGGTACCACTGAGCCAGCAGCAGCCCTTGCAAAAGGGAAGGTCCCTGCCAAAACCCTTGCAAAAGGGAAAGGCAAGAGCAACAATGCCTCTGCGAAGGCCCTTGGAAAAGGGAAGGGTGACAAAGCTGCTGCCAAGGCCCTTGCAAAAAGGAAAGGCAAGGGCAAGAAGGCCTCTGCAAAGGCCCTTGCAAAAGGGAAAAGGGATGGCAAAGCCTCTGCAAAGGCCCTTGCAAAAGGGCAAAAAGAGGCCCCTTGAGTGAGGGCCCCTGGTATGCCTTGAGAAAGACAAATGCCAAGAAGCCCAAGAGAACATATATCACAGGTGTCTTGGCACCAGGGAGTGGCCACCCAAGGAAGCTTATTGTGGAGGTTCCAGCCACTTGGAGCTCTCAGCATGACTTGATTTGCAACAAAATCATGAAAGCCTTGGAAAAGGACAGCCTCAGCAAAGCAGAGGCCTTGAAGATGAGAGAGGAGCTAGTGGCAGCCTACCCTTGAGATGCTGTTGCCAAACAAAAATTTGGGAAAGGGTGAAGAGCTTGCTCACCCTTGCAAAAGGGTGCAGCCCTTGCCAAAGGGCATGAACCCTTGCAAAAGGAAGCAGCCCTTGATAAAGGGCATGAATCAATCCTTGCAAACGGTGTTCCTTGCAAAAGGATGGAAGCAGCCCTGGATAAAGGGCTGAATCAATTCTTGCAAAAGGTGTTCCTTGCAAAAGGATGGAAGCAGCCCTTGATAAAGGGCACAAATCAATCCTTGCAGAAGGTGTTCCTTGCAAAAGGATCGAAGCAGTCCTTGGTAAAGGGCATAAATCAACCCTTGCAAAAGGTGTTCCTTGCAAAAGGCTGGAAGCAGGTTTTGGCAAAGGGTGTGACCTTGAAAAAGGATACCCTTGGAAAAGGGTTCTGCACCAAGACCTTGAGAAAGGGTTTTGTTAAAGCTAGGCCTTGAAAAAGGTTTGTACATATGTACATGTATAGCTGGATATAGTGCTAGCATCTTGGAAAACAGCTGCTGCTGCTGCTGCTGCTGCTTCTAGCTGCTTTCTGGTGTTGGTTTCTTCTAGTTGTTTTTTCTAGGGAGGTGTTGTTGTTTTTCTTCTTGGTTCATGTGTTGGGTTTTGGTTTTGTGGTGTGGGTTTGGTGTTCATGCCTTGATGCACCTGCAGCCATTTGAGCTTCAAGCGGCTCAGCTGAGCCATCTTGCAGGGAACCCTGCAACATGGAGGTGGATGAAGAAGGAGATGTGGAGGATTGGGAGATGTGGGATGTGGAGGAGGAAGAATGGGAGGAGGAGGACTGGGAGGAGGAGGAGTGGGAGGAGGAAGAATGGGATGAGGAGGAGGAGGAGGAGCAGCTGTCTTCAGGACCGCCCTCCTCCTCCTCCTCCTCTTCCTCCTCCTCCTCTACCTCTACCAATGAAACAGATGTGGCCCCTGCCCCCAAGACGAATGCCCATGGGAGGGTTTGGGGGCAAGGGGCCGACGTCCAGGGGGATGGCAGGCAAGGAGGGCTGCACAGTTTGGCAGACTCCATCATGCTCCTGCCCTTCCTGCTCCAAAAGGGCTTGCAAAAGCCAAAGCCAAAGGGCTTGCAAAAGCCAATGCCAAAGGGCTTGCAAAAGCCAAAGCCACAGGGCTTGCAAAAGCCAAAGCCAAAGGTGGCAAGCAGGAAGGTGATGGCCCTGGAGACCTTGCAAAAGGGAAGAACCTTGCAAAAGGTAAGAACCTTGGAAAAGGTGAGAACCTTGCAAAAGGTAAGAACCTTGGGAAAGGTCAAAAGCAGAGTGGGGGTGACCCCAAAGGGCTTGGAAAAGCCAAGAGGAGGAAAGGCCTTGAAGAAGGTGAGCCCAAGGAGACCAAACCTCTTGCAAAAGAGGGAGGCAAAGCCTTTGGTCAGGGGCCAGAAGATGATGAGGCCACTGAGGAGCTCCTGGCCAACCTCAGAAGGACTGCCCTGACTCAGATGAGGATGGGTAAGTTTGGCCTTAGGAAAACCCTTGCAAAAGGGTCAGCAGCCAGCAGCTCAGCGGGATGATGAGCAGGAGGCAACCCTTGAAAAAGGGAAAAGGAAAAACAAGAAGCACAAGCAGGAGGATGAGCCCTTGGAAAAGGACCCACCCAACCTTGCAAAAGGTATTCCTTCAAAAAGGAATCAGGCAAGGCTTCCTTGGAAAAGGGAGCAAAGAAGGTGTCCTTGGAAAAGGAGAAGGGGAGGAAGAAGAAGACCTCTTACCCCTTCCCATTCTCACATGTTGACCAAGGCTGGGAAGAGGAAGGGGCCACCTCTGCTCCTTCCAGGCCCTCTAAGCCCCTTGCAAGAGGACAGGAGGCACCAGCTCTTGCAAAAGAGGGTGGTGAGGAGGAGCAATCCCTTGCAAAAGGGACAGGTCAGGCACAATCCCTTGAAAAAGGTGATGGTGATGCATCAGCAGCCCTTGGCAAAGGGCAAGAAGAGTCAACCCTTGGAAAAGGGGCTGTGCCAGTCAAGGTAGCACCATCACCTCCACCTTGCAAAAGGTGGAAGGTGATGGTGGACTGGCGCAACACGCTGAAGGCTGGCCCTGATGACACCATCAGGGCCCAGGACTTGGAGGCTCTCCATCAACCCCTTGAAAAAGGAATTGGTGTGTACCTCTGTTCTTGGTGTGGGAGAACACAAAGACAGAAGGTACAACATGAGATGGAGAGCCTCCTTGGCCCCATGGTGGTGCAGGAGTTGATGTGGGTGGCCAGAACTGGGCCCAGGGGCAAGGCTGACCTTGCCACTGGGTTTGGGCGCAGTGCCATCTTTGATGATGGAGATGACATCTTGTGGGAGTGCAATGACTGGGGCATCAAGTGCTTTGGCATCACCACACACAAACAACCACATGAGTGGATGCCAGAGCACAGGAGGTTCCCAACCTTTGCTGAGGCAGTGCTGAGCTTCATGGGGGAATTTAAACCTCAGAAGTGGCCTGCTGATGCTTGAGAAAGCATCCACACTGCCAGCCCTTGCAAAAGGGTAAGGTGGAACCTCCTGATGCACCAGTACCCTTGAAAAAGGGTTGCTCCTGCAAGTGATCCTTGAAAAAGGATCAGCGCCCAAGTCCTTGAAAAAGGACCAGCACCCAGCAAGCTCTTGGAAAAGGGCAGGCCCAGGCTCTGGCAAAAGAGCTAGAACTCCTGCAGGTCCTTGAAAAAGAGCAAAGCCAAAAGCTCTTGAAAAAGAGCAAGCTCTTGAAAAACAGCATGCTCTTGGAAAAGAGCAAGCTCTTGGGAAAGAGCAAGCTCTTGAAAAAGAGCAGAGTGAGAGGCCATGCGTGTGTTTCACTCCAGCAGGCTAGCCAAAATGGCAGCCAAACATGAATTTGAAAAACTAATATGAAATACAAAAAATATAAATATCACTTTATATATTATAATTTTAAGGTTATTAAATAGATATATGTAATATAGTGTGTTTATAGACTATATGTATTTAAGTGTAAATAGTGTAAGTTTAATAGTCAGAGTTAATCTTCAATTAAAA